AAATATTTAACGTTATCCTAATTTGCTGTTAAAAATAACACCATTTATATTTATAGCACTAGTAAGAATACGTTTTTTCCCGCCAATTCAAGGATAGGTGAAATCAGGACTAGCAGAGCCATCTATGGACAGACATATTTCACAAAAATATAAAAAATGAGTGCAGTATTCTCCCCATTTTTTGTTCATTTAAACTGGCGGCAATGGGTTAAAACCTGAAAAAAAAAAAAAAACATAAAACCTCACATACATCAAATTATAAAAGTGAGCAAGTGAAACAGTTCCATTTGTTTGCGACATCCTTTATTAGTATTCATAAATTCATTTCATATTTAAAAATACCTTCAAATATAGGTAGATGTGTATTTTCTTCAGGGGGAAATAATCTAATGTGCTAAAGTTACATATAATGCATATTTACAGGAAAAAACACATGGTTAATGAAAGTGAAAAGACCTTTGCTGAAGCACCTGGGGTGTGTCATCATTTTCTAGCAACCATTGTGATTAATGAATAGCTTCAAATTAATGAATAAGTGTAATTGCTTTGAGTAAAACATTTATTGTGCATGAATAACACATACAAAAGGCCTATGCACAGAAATGAACTTGAAAATTAAAAGAAATGCAATGCCCTTTGCCAAAGCATGGAGGCCACAGCTGTTGCTTGTTGCAGGGCTATTGTAAAGTTTTCACTAGCCTAAAATCATAAATCAGAGAAAGCACACTCACACAAACACGCACACACAAACACGCACACACACGCACACACACACACGCATGCACGCACACACACACACAGAGAGAGAGAGAGAGAGAGAGAGAGAGAGAGAGAGAGAGAGAGAGAGAGAGAGAGAGAGAGAGAGAGAGTACAGTGCATCACACTGGTGAAGTACAGTTCTTACATGTTGTTAAATAGCTATATTTTTGTGTTTGTTTTCTGGGTAACCATTCAAACCAGGTAGAACAGTGGCTCTTGAAGCCATAAATTTGAAAGAATTGGTGGAAAATTTGCACAGGAACACAACTATTCAGAGAGAAAATACTGAAAAGTCTGACATGGAAATCAAACAACACAAGGAAATGGTGGAAGAAGTAGAAACCAAGATTCGCAACAGTAGTCAAATTGAGGCAAAGAATCTGCAAGAAAAAGTTGATGAAGTAAAATTTATACTTATCATGTATATCTTTCCCTAAATTCAACTGTAATCTTAAACTGAAAGTGAGCCAAAATTACAGTGCTTATTTGAATTTTGCTGAGTCACTTACAGTTCCAAGTATTATTATCATTATCATTTGAATATTTATTTATTTTACTGAAAGCAAGCCAAAATTATAATGCTACTCTGAATTTGGCTGAACTAAATATTTAATTATATTTCCTTCAAAATATATCTTAGAGCACATAAATTTGTCACAAGAAACTAGCAAAATATGTATTACCAGGGTGTTGAGTTTTTCTTGCATATTTTGTCACTATTTATTAAAGAAAAATTACAGTCATGTTGACAACAAGGCTTGAACTTCATGATTTGACTCCTCTGATTTATGCCTACCTAAGTGAAAACTTAACAACAGTCCCGTAACAAGCCACAGCTGAACCCACCTCGCTTCAGTGAGGGCAGTGCATTCCCATTAATTTTCATTTCTGTGCCTAGGCCTTTTGTATGTGCTACTCATGCACATTATATGTTTTACTCTAAGCAAGCACACATATTAATTAAATTTGAAGGTATTCATTAATCACAATACTTAGCAGAAAATGATAACATGGCCCCCTGTGCTTAAGCAAAGGTCATTTCACTTTCATTAACCACATGCTAGTGAGGAAAATTATTAAAAAATGGGGTAAATGTTGTGCTCATTTTTCATATTTTTGAGAAATGTCTCTGCACATAGATGGCTCTGCTAGTGCTTAGCCACAAAGGAGTCAATTAGTAATCCTTGTGACATAAAACATTTTTTATTAGTGCTATAAATGCTATCAATGGTGTTATTTTTATTATAAACATTATAATTACTAAAGCATTACAAACATTAGTAACAGCAAAATAAGATAACATAAAATATTTTCATAAATCAAGGAAAAGGGTAAACGGGCGAGACAGATAGTACTCATAATTGGCTTACTGGTGACATAGTACAAGAGTAGCCATCCACGTGTAAAAACAATTAATAAAGTGAACTAACAGTGGGCATGGAATGTATATACATGCCATGCCTGTCAGGATTGAGTTAATCATATTCTTTTTCGTGTAAATATATATCATATACATAACTTTAGTATATTAAATTATTTCCCCTAACAAAATATACATATGCATACATTTTAAGATATTTTTTAATATGAAATAAAATGATGGGCACAAAAGGAGGATGTAACAAACAAATGGAACGATTCCCATATGTTCACTTATATTATTTGATGTTTGTCATCGGGTATTATTTAATATGAACATGCTTATCCATGACTGTATTAGTATAAAAACTGTTTAAACAATATATACACCACTTTCAGTAATATAAAAGTTTTAATTTGATCTATATATTTGTTGATATTTTTATTTGTAGCACAGCACCTGCCTGAAACAATTTTAGTCTCAGAACTGTCTGAGAATGTTCATGGGTACTGCTCCTAATTTCAAAATTCCTTGAATTATCAGATTTTTTTTATTTACTGCAATCATTGTTGACATTATGATTACCAAAGTGCTATCAAAATTTTTAAAACAATAAAAGAGAATCTTTCCAAAAATTAAGGAAGAGGGTAAACAGGAGGACTAATAATTGACTCCTTGATGACTAAGTATTTGTGGAGCCATCTATGTGTAAAGACAGTTCACCCCATGTTGATAGGATAGCAAGGATTTTTGTCTTTTTGTTACTGTCTTTAACTTACATAGCTTCACAAGTACTTAATCACAAAAGAGAAATACTGTCCTACCTAGCTCACTTGTATACTCTTTTCCTTTATTTTTGGATTAAAAGAGAAAAAAAATATTGTTAATAACATTATACCATAACATTTACAACAATATAATCACCAATATTAATAGCATTGGAAAAAAAATCCTGAAAGCTCAAGGAGAGGGGAAATTGACTCCTTGGTGGCTGAACACTTGTGGAGCCATAAATATGCCAAAAAATTTTCAAAAGAAAATGATAGTGAGATTACCTTGAACAATTGGGTTAATAAATATCATTAACCATGGAGTAAATCAGTACTATTCATATCTATTTCTCTGTTATTTCATTAATAAACATTCTTTATATCTATCCTTCTGATTCTTAATCTCCACATTACCCCGTAATTTAACCCACTGCCGACGGGGAAAATGAACAAAAAAATTGGGAAAATGCTGTGATTTTTTTTGGTGAAATGTCTCTACACATAGATGGCTCTGCTAGTGCTTAGCCCTACCTGGTTTCACCTTTCCTTGAGTTGGTGGGAAAATGTATTTTTTACTAGTGCTATGAATATCTATGGTGTTATTTTTATTATAAACATTATAATTACTATAATGTTATAAACATTAGTAATAACAAAAAAGATAATGTGAAATATTTTCATAAATTAAAGAAAAGGGTAAATGGGCAAGACAGGCAGTAGTCATAAGTGGCTCATTGGTGACTTAGTACAAGTGTAGCCATCTATGTGTAAAAACAATTAAACAAGTAAACTCACAGTGGGCATGGCATGCCATGTCCATCAGCAATGGGTTAATTTGAAATTGTATAGAAGACCACCAATGTTTTTTTTTATTTCTGCCACATCTTCTAACTACACATCCTCTTGCCAGACCACTGCAATCTGGTATTGTTTCTAGCACTGCTGATCATGATCTCTGTCAGATCCATAAATCAATTATATCTAAAATTGTCATTTAGTTATTGAAATGTTAACCATGTTACACTAAACTGTAATGTCATTTAATAACAGACTTCTAACTCCTGCTCTGAGTCAAACTATGAGTAAGTGACATCAACAGTCCAGCTTGCCAAAACCAGTTATGCAAGAGGCAGACAAAGCATTTTTAGACCTTGACATCATGTAATATTTTGAAAACCTTGTCCATGAACTCAATACACTTTAGATTAATTAGGCAAATATCCAAATCTCATTTATTTCTTTGGAATGCTTACAACAAACCACTATATTTATCTATGGCCAATTTCTGAAGAACCATGAGAAAACAATATGAAAAAAATAAACAACAGTAACACCAAATATGTTGACTGATCAAAAAGAAAAACTATTACACAAAGAATTTTGAAAAAAGCAAGAAACAAATATATAAAGAACATTATAACTTTTTGTTTCAATTTGACAATAGAGAAAGAAACAACTTAATGCATGTAGTAAAAAAAATCTTCACAATACCTGGTGGCTTGTGCTCCTTGGTATAATTTGAGGGAAACCATCCTGTTTTGTCATCTAGTGTGCCTTCCCACCAGCCTCCTTCCTCACGTTGTGTTACTGTGATTATGTCACCCTTCCTAAAGCATAACTGTAATATATATAAATGTAGAAATAAATACAAAAATAACCATAACAACAAAATACAAATACAATATTAATAATAATAACAATATATATATAATAAATTACTGGAAACAAATATAATATATACATTTTCATTACAATTACACTTTTGAAAAATCAGTAAACAAGAAATAATCAATATTTCTGCATAAAGTGAAAATATTTTTGAGGAAACAACATATTATCAAAAGTGCAAATAAATATATAAGCAGTACAGACACATAGGGAAGATCAGATTTTTACATTTTACCAAGTCATTATCTATATACAGCCTTTATGGACATATATTAACGGGAAAAGAAAATTGCTGCTCACCTCATCGTTATTTTTCCCTTTGAAGGAGTAAAGAGCTTCAACCAGCAGTATTCCATTTTCAGACGACATTATCAACAACTGTGCTGCTATACTCTTAATCTATTATTTTCACTTTTATACACTGCGAAAAAAAATCAAGAAAATTCTTACAATTACACTGAACAACTTTTCTCATGTACAGTAGTATTAAAAGTAATAAATCATTCATTTCTTAATCAATGTTTCCCTAACTTGAAGGAGTAACACACTTTTGAAATAAAACAAATCAAATCCCCTATCTTTATCACATGAAAACACTGTCCTTAAGTAAAGCAACACAGTCTCACCACCCAAAGATTCTTTCCTAGTATTCAACAACTGATGCCAAGCTATGAGAAGCACCTCACACTACATATTCATACCACAAAAAAAGTATAGTCATAGAAACACTTGACACCAAGCCAAGAATTTGTCTCAGCAGGAAGTGGGATCATTACTAATATACCAGGATAAAAGATTTTCTTGAATGGGGCGAATCACCCTACAAAACTATTGCTTGCTGAGGAAAAAAAAAAGATAAGACAATTATATGTCATCTGAAAATGACATTAGCGAGACCCTACAGATTCCTTTGGAAGAGAGAAAGAGAGAGAGAGAGAGAGAGAGAGAGAGAGAGAGAGAGAGAGAGAGAGAGAGAGAGAGAGAGAGAGAGAGAGAGAGAGAGAATGCAGAGTGAGAATGCAGAGAGAGAGAGAGAGAAAGAGAGAGAAGGCTGGGGGAGAGAGAGAGAGAGAGAGAGAGAGAGAGAGAGAGAGAGAGAGAGAGAGAGAGAGAGAGAGAGAGAGAGAGAGAGAGAGAGGAGAGAGAGAGAGAGAGAGAGAGAGAGAGAGAGAGAGAGAGAGAGAGAGAGAGAGAGAGAGAGAGAGAGAGAGAGAGAGAGAGGAGAGAGAGAGAGGAGAGAGAGAGGAGAGAGAGAGGAGAGAGAGAGGAGAGAGAGAGGGAGAGAGAGAGGGAGAGAGAGAGGGAGAGAGAGAGGGAGAGAGAGAGGGAGAGAGAGAGGGGAGAGAGAGAGGAGAGAGAGAGAGGAGAGAGAGGAGAGAGAGGAGAGAGAGAGAGAGAGAGAGAGAGAGGAGAGAGAGGAGAGAGAGAGAGAGAGAGGAGAGAGAGAGAGAGAGGAGAGAGAGAGAGAGAGAGAGAGAGAGAGAGGAGAGAGAGAGAGAGAGAGAGAAGGCAGAGAGAGAGAGAGAGAGAGAGAGAGAGAGAGAGAAGGCAGAGAGAGAGAGAGAGAGAAGGCAGAGAGAGAGAGAGAGAGAAGGCAGAGAGAGAGAGAGAGAGAAGGCAGAGAGAGAGAGAAGGCAGAGAGAGAGAGAGAGAGGCAGAGAGAGAGAGAGAGAGAGAGAGAGAGAGAGAGAGAGAGAGAGAGAGAGAGAGAGAGAGAGAGAGAGAGAGAGAGAGAGAGAGAGAGAGAGAGAGAGAAGGCAGAGAGAGAGAGAGAGAGAGAGAGAGAGAGAGAGAGAAGGAGAGAGAGAGAGAGAGAGAGAGAGAGAGAGAGAGAGAGAGAGAGAGAGAGAGAGAGAGGAGAGAGAGAGAGAGGAGAGAGAGAGAGAGAGAGAGAGAGAGGAGAGAGAGAGAGAGAGAGGAGAGAGAGAGAGAGAGAGAGAGAGAGAGAGAGAGAGAGAGAGAGAGGAGAGAGAGAGAGAGAGAGAGAGAGAGAGAGAGAGAGAGAGAGAGAGAGAGAGAGAGAGAGAGAAGGCAGAGAGAGAGAGAGAGAGAGGAGAGAGAGAGAGAGAGAGAGAGAGAGAGAGAGAGAGAGAGAGAGAGAGAGAGAGGAGAGAGAGAGAGAAGAGAGAGAGAGAGAAGAGAGAGAGAGAGAGAGAGAGAGAGAGAGAGAGAGAGAGAGAGAGAGAGAGAGAGAGAGAGAGAGAGAGAGAGAGAGAGAGAGAGAGAGAGAGAGAGAGAGAGAGAGAGGAGAGAGAGAGAGAGAGAGAGAGAGAGAGAGAGAGAGAGAGGAGAGAGAGAGAGGAGAGAGAGAGAGAGAGACAGGGGAGGTGAGAGGAGGGAGTTTTTTTTTTTGTGTTTTGATGTTTATAGAGAGAGTAGGGCAGAGAGATAGAGGCAGAAGAGAGAGGATTTTTTTGATTGAGAGGGGGAGGAGAGAGGGGATCTGGGAGGAACATGAGGAGATGAGATGAGAGAGAGGAGTGGGAGAGGAGGGGAGAGGGAGAGGAGACGGGCGGAGAAGACGAGAGCGAGAGAGAGAGAGAGAAGGGCAGAGGAGAGACGAGAGAGAGAGAGAAGGACAGAGAGAGACGATTGAGACCCGAGAGAGAGAGGACGGAAGAAGTTAGAAGACGAGGAGAATGGAGAGGAGAGGAGACGAAGAGAGGACTGGGAAGAGAGAGAGAGGATGGAGTGAGAGGGAGAGGAGAAAGGCAGGAGAGGGAAGGGAGAGAAGGCAGAGAGGAGGGAGGAGCTGAGAGGGGAGAAGGAGAGAAGAGAGATGGAGGGAAGGAGACAGGAGGAGAATGAGAGAGAGAGGGGAGATGATGGAGAGAGAGAAGAGGGAGCGAGGGAGAGAGGGGAGAGAGGAGAGGATACGACGAGAGAGAGAGAGAGAGAGGGACGGAGGAGAGAGAGGCAGAGTAGGAGAGAACGAGAGGAGAAGGAGGAAGGCAGAGTGAGAGAATGAGGGAAAGGAAAGAGATGAGAGACCGTGAGAGAGAGGAGAGAAAAAAGAAGGCAGAGAGAGACAGAGATAGATGAGGGAGAAGGAGCGAGGAGGGAGGCAGCAGAGAGGCAGCAAGATGAGAGAGATCAGAGAGAGGAGAGAGAGAGATGAGGTAGCGGAAGAGAGAGGGAGAGAGATGAGAGCGGATGAGAGAGATCGAGAGATGAGAGAGAGAGAGAGAGGATGAGATGAGAGAAGGAAGAGAGAGAGGAGGAGGTAGGGACAGAGAGAGAGAGCAAAGTGAGGAGGAGAGAGGCGCGAGCGAGAGAGAGAATGAGGGAGAGAGGTAAGGCAGAGAGAGAGAGAACGAGAGAGAGGAGAGGAGAGAGACGAGTGAGAGAGAAGAGCGAGGTTGAGAGAGAGTAGGAGAGGGAGGAGAGAGAGAGTGAGAGAGAGATGAGAGAGAAGAATGGGCAGAGAGAGAGAGAGAAGGCAGAGAGAGAGAGAGAGAGACGGAGAGGAGCGAAGGAAGAGAGAGAGAGAGAGAGAGAGAGAGAGAGAGCAGAGAGTGAGAAGACGATGAGCGGAGATTGAGAAGACGGGCAGAAGCGAGAGAGAGAAGGCAGAGAAGAGAGAGAGAGACGAGGGAGTGAGAGGATGCAAGAAGAGAGAGAGCGAGTGATCGAAGAGAGAGAGAGGACAAAGAAAGAGAGAGAGAGAGAGAGAGAGAGGGAGAGAAGAGGAGACGAGTAGAGAGAGAGATAAGGCACAGAGAAGAGAGAGAGAGAAGGTTAGGAGAGAGAGAGAGAGAAGGTAGAGAGAGACAGAGAGAGAAGGCCTCAGAGATGAGAGAGAGAGAGAGACAAGGAGAAGAGGGAGCGAGAGAGAGGAGGAGAGCGAGAGAGAGAGAGGAGAAGAGAGAGAGATGACGAGTAGAGGAGACGAGGAGACGAGGGGAAGAGGAGAAGGCGGAGATGAGAGAGAGAGAGATGAGAGAGAGAGAGAGAGAGAGAGAGAAGAACGAGAGAGAGGAGAGATGAGATGCGAGGAGAGAGAGGAGAGGAGATGAGGAGAGGGAGAGAGAGAGAAGGCAGATAGAGCGAGAAGAGAGAGAGAAGAGTGAGGAGAGGGAGAGAATGGAAGAGAGATGTAGGGAGACTGAGAGAGGCGAGAGGAAGAGAGAGGCCGAGGAAGAGGAGGAAGAGAGACGAGGACGAGAGAGAGAGAAGGAGGAGAGAGAGAGAGAGAGAAGGCATGGGAGGAAGAGGAGAGAGAGAGAGAGAGGAGAGAGAAGACGAGAGAGGAGAGAAGAGAGAGAGAGGTAAGAGAAGGCAGAGAGAGAGAGAGAGAGAGAGAGCAGATGAGAGACGGTACGAGGGAGAGAGGGAGAGGGAGAAGTGGGAGAGAACGAGGAAGAGAGAGGATGAGGAAGAGAGAGCAGAGAGAATAGGGCAGAGAGAAGAGGGAAGGCAGAGAGAGAGAGAGAGAGAGAGACAGAGGCGGGAGAGAGGATGGAGGATGAGATGAGGGAGAAGAGAGAGGAGAGAGAGAGAGGAAGAGGCGCAGAAGAGCAAGAGCAGCAGAGAAAGAAGGACAGATCAGATGAGAGAGAGAGGAGAAGAGAGAAGAGAAGAGAGAGAGAGAGAGAGAGAGAGGAGAGAGAGCGAGAGAGAGAGAGAGACGAGATGAGGAGACGAGATGGTGAGAGAGAGAGAGGAGAGGAGGAGACGGATGAGAAGAAGGTCACCAGAGACTGAGAGAGAGAAGAGAGCAAGAGAGGGCAGCAGAAAGAGCGAGAGAAGAGAGATGCGACTGAGCAGCATGAGGAGAAGAGAGAGAGAGAGATAGGCAGAGAGGAGAGAGAGAAGGAGAAGGCAGAGAGAGAGCGAGGAAGAGAGTGAGAGACGGAGAGGGAGAGAGAGGAGGAGCGGAGGGAAGGAGGAGAGAGAGTGAGAGAGCAGAGAGAGATGAGAAGAAAGGGAAGAGGGAAGAGGAGATGGAGAGAAGGAGACGAGAGAGAGTGAGAGAGCGAGAGAGAGAAGATGAGAGGAGAGAGAGAGAGAGGAAGATGTGGATGGCAGGAGGATGAGGAGAACAGTATGATGAGACGAGAGAGAGGAGGAGAGAGAGAGCGAGAGAGGGAAGGCAGAGAGGAGGGCAGAGATGAGACAGAGTGAGAGTAAGAGATGAGAGAGATTGAGGGGCAGAGAGAGGAGAGAGGCATGAGCCCGACTGAGAGATGAGGAGAGAGGAGCACAAGAGAGAGACGAGAGAGAGAGAGAGGAAGTCGAGGCAGAGAGAGAGATGAGAGATGGAGAGAGATGAGATGAGATAGAGGAGCGGATGAGATGAGAGAGAGAAGGCACAGAGAGAGATGAGAGGCAGAGCGGAGGAGAGGGACGGCGAGAGAGGAGAGAGACGAGAGAGGAGACGAGAGAGAGGAGAGAGAGAGAAGGACAAGAGAGAGAGAGAGAGAGAGAGAGAGAGAGGGAAGAA